AAAAAAAAAAAAAAAAAAAAGATACGTTCTTATATTTAATAACAAAGTAACTTTACAATGCCTACTTTAATCCAATAAGTGTTCTCCAAACCAAGCTAGACAGGCTTCTATTACTGAGCTCACCAACCAACTTGGACTTTTTTATTATTATTCCTACCGAATATCAAAACACACCATAAGAATTGGTAAAAATAGCACGGTATATCCAGTTTTCGGATTGATCATTCAAAAATAGTCAGCGTTTACCAAGTTAATGAAAAATAGCTACTATTTTGCTGCAACAGAGATCGATCCAGTATAATTTACTGGAGTTCGGTGCACCTGTGTATGAACTTCAACATATTATGCAGGACCGATATACTTTGATGGCTCCAGTATAATATACTGGATACTGGAGCACCGGTGCTCCAAACTCCAGTATATTATGCTGGAACTCCAGTATATTATGCTGGAGTTCTAGTGTACTTATGCTGGAACTCCATATATTATGCCGGAGTTCCAGCATACTTATCCTGGAACTCCATATATTATGCCGGAGTTCCAGCATACTTATCCTGGAACTCCAGCATAATATACTGGTGTATTTTCTGGGTTTTGAACAGTGTTTTCGCTCAGATTTATCTTTACATGAAAAGTGGCTAAATTTCGATAACTTTTGAAACTGAGCTATTTTTGAACGACCAGTTATAAATCTGGCTATTTTTGAATTTCACCCTAAGAATTGTTTCCAGCAATGAGTTCCCATGGGTGGGGTGGGCCATTCCATCATATCTTAATGAGCTGATTTATCATCACATAAATATATATATATATATAATTATTGTAGATCACAAGCCTTATTTATTACTTAAACTCAGTCTCCAATCAAACATTATCACATAACGGAGGGAGTATAAATTTTCTACAAGATTAGACCTTTTATTTGGTTTAGTGATTTAGCACAGACCGAAGGCACTACAATAAATTTGGCCTAAAATCACATTAGTTTTAGATAACGCTTGAAATATATTGGCAAAGTACTTGTGACAACGTTTTTAAAGGGTAGACTTTGTTGAGAGCTTCCGACTATTGAGTTTTTTCTCTCGGGGCTAGAGTTAATAATTACAATCCATTTGAAATTATTTGTTGAATATTGATAATTCCGGCTATTTATCATGCTTACCGGTCATCTTATCATTTGAAATTATTTGTTGATTATTCAACATAGAATTAAAGTTTGTCATTGCTTGTTGCTCAGGCTCGGAGGTCCAGCTTTTCCTGCATCCGCCACAGCCGGCCGATGAGGTACCTTCTCTCGTGGTCTGTGCAGCATTGGCACGCAACGCACCACCTTGACCATGCCCTCCATTCAATCCTCCTCTCTGATTCTGCTGTTGTCCTCTTTTACGTCCACTACTCTTCTCATCACCACTAGGGATTTTTCTCCACCACTTTGGATAACCTATAAGCTGGAAATATTTTTTGGGTTCATGCCATGCATGTGCGCTTGCAATAAGAGTACGTAGCGACTTGTGTAGGGAGATATGCCTTGTACAACAAAGGCCATCGCGAGCAAGTTTGATCTCACTGTCCCATATATGATCTCGTCAGATCCCATGAGGAAAAGATGAACCTTCTCCTCTTTCTTCTTCTTCTCCAAAATAGCACCAAGATTGCACCCCCATGTACCAGTCGGAATCTGACCGAAATTGTCAGTTTTTCATAGTAGTATTTAACTACGGTCATGCCCAATTCTGTTTACAAACCGTAAGTTCAGCGTTCAATTGTTGTATCCTTGGGCCATTAGAGACCGCAAAATGCTCTCTAATACTCACCCATAAGTCTTCGGCCACCTCAATATGAGGTATGGTCAAACGCAAAATGGGTTCAATTGTGTTTCGAATTCAAGACATAGTTGATGGTCCCGCCAATCTTCAACTTCAAGATCTGGATACTCTTCAGTAGGTTTCTTGATCGCTAGCTCCGTCTGTAAATATCATATGGAGCTAGCGATTATCATTAGATGTTATATCAAGACTTCAAATTACGCATGTTCTACTAGACTAGAGGTTATCTATGTTGTTGGATCTAGTCAAATAAGATGACTTCATAGTTGATTTATTTCCAATTGCTAAGAAGAAATTAGGCCAATGCCTGGTGTTGAGTACTGTTGTGCACCTAGTCTTTACTAAGTATAATTTTTCTTCAAGATCAGAGTTTTTTTTGTTTTTTCTCTGGGCTCGAGTTGATAATTGCAATCCATGTATAGGTTCTTGCGCTTTATTATCTCTTCGAGATTATCAATTCTCATTTTAGTTACTTGAAAAAGACATACTTCCTCATTTTAGTGCAAACTAATAATATTTGCAGTGGGGCTATTGGTTTTGTTATTTGCTCAACTGAGGGGCCTCCAGTTGATTTCAAGCATACCGTCAACAAATCTGATGCGGACATCATCTCCACAAAATCTGAATCACCTTTGAAGTACTATAACTCAGAGGTACCTTCTTCTTCTTCTTTTTTTCAGTAAGATTTTAAATTTTCTTTTATCATAAAGCTAGTTATATATGGTCTTCTAAGATATATTTTTCTCTACTTGCATCAGGGTCTAGAAAAGGTACTACTCTAGCTTTATGGTCCATCTCTAAATGTTTATTTAGTAATCAAGTGTCACGACCCGGATTTCCCACCATCAGGAGTCGTGATGACGCCTACTAGTGAAAGCTAGACAAGCCAACCAACTGAACTATTTACCTTGTTTCCATTTTTAATCCGATAATAGTTAAGGGCCAACAATTAGATAACAACAGAATTGAATAAGCGAAAGGCTGCATTGTAAAGTTTTAATAATACTGCTAATACCAATCCATAACAAATCTAGTCAAGACTGGTGTCACAACTTCACAGACTATCTAGGAGTACTACAAATAAAGGTCTGAAAGAAATAAATACAACATTGTCTCTGGAAATACATGAAAGAAATAGGAATAGTAGATAGAAGGAGACGCCAAGGCCTGCGGACACCTGCAGGACTACCTCGGGTCGCCGGATGAACAAGAAACAACAATCTCACTGCGGTCCGAAGTCTACAGCACTGGGATCTTCACAAAAAAGTGCAGAGTGTAGTATCAGCACAACCGGCCCCATGTGCTGGTAAGTGCCTAGTCTAACCTCGGTGAAGTAGTGACGAGGCTAGGACCAGACTACCAAACAAACCTGTGCAGTTAAATCATATATAGCAGAAATATAAGTAGATAATTACAACTAAAGTTGGGCGGGGGAATCATGCTGCGGGGAGTAACAGATAACAACAGGACAACAGTAGAGAAATGTAAGGAATGTCATAAATCAATTACCAGCAAAGATAAGGAAATAAGAAGAACAAGTACACATGTAATACCGTTGCAAGCGTGCAACCCGATCCCATTTCATATAGTACCGTTGTAGGCGTGCAACCCGCTCCCATTTCATATTGTACCGTTGCAGGCGTGCAACCCGCTCCCATTTCATATATTACCGTTGCAGGCGTGCAACCCGCTCCCATTTCATATATTACCGCTGCAGGCATGCACCCGCTCCCATTTCATATATTACCGTTGCAAGCGTGCAACCCGCTCCCATTTCATATATCAACACCAATCATAAGAGAACCCGGCAAGGGAACAATAGCATAATAACAACATCCCAGCAAGGGAACAATAATATTACAACAACATCCCGGTAAGGGAACAATAACATCACAACAAACATTCCGACAAGGGAACAATAATACCACAACAACATCCCGGCAAGGGAACAATAATGATAATCCTCATTGAAGCATAATAAACCACAACGGAGTCATAATGATTACAATACAAGACTCACGGGCATGCTTGACACCGACGTATATATACTCGTCACCATGCCTATACATCGTACTCCATAATTAGCACATAGCAGATAAGACCCAACTCCTAATCCCTCAAGCTAAGGTTAGACCAAACACTTACCTCGATGCCACGAACACAATTCAAGCCTCAACTATCGCTTTACCTCTTGATTCCACTACCAACTCACTCGTATCTAGCCACAAGTTACTTAATAATATTAATAAGTGCTAAATGAATCAATTCTAATGCATGCAAATAAGTTTTCTAAAGTTTTTTCCCAAAAAGTCAAAAATCGACCCCGGGCCCGCTTGGTCCAAACCCGAAATTCGGGCCAAAACTTGATTACCCATTTACCTCCGAGCCCGGATATATAATTGGTTTTGGAATCCGACCTCAATTTGAGGTCTAAATCCCCAAATTTTAATATTCTTAGGTTTTACCCAAAATTCCCAATTCCACTATGAAAACCCTAGATTCTAGGATGAAATCTTGTAAAAAGAAGTTAAGGAGTAAAGAAAATGAGTTAGAAATCACTTACTAATGTTTTGGAGAAGAAAGGTTGGTTGAAAAATCGCCTCTTATGTTTTTGGGGTTTTGAAAAATGAAAAATAACTGAAAATCCCATTTAAATATACCCCTCTCAGACCCCTTCCGCGGACCGCACAAAAAAGAGTGCGGCCGCGAAGCTCACCACGGAGACTGCAGTGACATGCTTTAGTATTTTGGCTATAACTTTCTCTACAGATGTCCATATTGTGAGTTTTTTAACTTTCTGGAAACTAGACACGAAGGGATACAACTTTAATTTTTGAATTATCTCAAAATTCCTTGTAGATTAAAAGATATAGGCTTCCGAAGTCAGACCAGTGAACCTGCGGATTCTTCCTCACAGCGGACCGCACAAAATCGAGTGCGACCGCAAAGGCCCCTCTGCGGCAGCACAAAATCAATGCGGACCGCACTGGCGGGTTCAGAGATCTGCAACTTCTCTGAAGCTGCAACAACTATGTTTTAAGCCTAAAACATCCCGGAACCTACCCGAAACTCACCCGAGCCCTTGAGACCTCAAACCAAATGTGCATACTAACTCAAAAACATCATATGAACCTACTCGTGCGATCACATCATCAAAATAACACGTAAAACCATGAATTAAACCTCAAAACTCAACATTTTCATCAAGAACATTCAAAGTTCATAACTCTTCAACCAGAAATCCAACTCACGTCAAATAAACTCCGTTTTCACCAAATTTCACAGTTATCTTTTAAATACTATAACAAGTTTGTACCGGGCTCCGGAACCAAAATACGGGCCCGATACCAATAGTTTCAAACATTAATTCGTTTCTTCATTTCTTAGATAATTCAGCAAAATAATTTCTTTCAAAAATTGATTTCTATGGCTTGGGTTCATTTCCGGGCATACGCCCAAGTCCTATATTTTACTGCGGACCTCACGGGATCGTCGGAATACGGATCTGGATCCGTTTGCTCAAAATGTTGGCCAAAGTCAACCAAAATCAAATTTTTTAACTCTAGAAATTTCTATTTCTCATCTTTTCACATAGAAGGCTTTCCGGATATAGGTCCGGACCACACATACAAATCAATCAACCCCAAGCCTGCTTGGTCCAAACCCGAAATTCGGACCAAAATCCGATTACCCATTCACGTCTGAGCCCGGATATATAATTGGTTTTGGAATCCAACTTCAATTTGAGGTCTAAATCCCCAAATTTTAATATTCTTAGGTTTTACCCAAAATTTCCAATTCCACCATGAAAACCCTAGATTCTAGGATGAAATCTAGTTAAGGAGTAAAGAAAATGAGTTAGAAATCACTTACTAATGTTTTGGAGAAGAAAGGTTATTTGAAAAATCGCCTCTTATGTTTTTGGGGTTTTGAAAAATGAAAAATAACTGAAAATCCCGTTTAGATATACCTCTCTCAGATCCCCTCCGCGGACCGCACAAAAAGGAGTGCGACCGCGAAGCTCACCACGGAGACTGCAGTGACATGCTTTAGTATTTTGGCTATAACTTTCTCTACAGATGTCCATATTGTGATTTCTTTACCTTTCTGGAAACTAGACACAAAGGACTACAACTTTCTTTTTGAATCATCTCAAAATTCCTTGTAGATCAAAAGATATAGGCTTCCGAAGTTAGAACAGTGAACCTGCGGATTCTTCTTCACTGCGGACCGCACAAAATCGAGTGCGGCCGCAAAGGCCTCTCTGCAGCAGCACAAAATCAATGCAGACCGCACTAGCGGGTTCAGAGATCTGCAACTTCTCTGAGCCTGCAACAGCTATGTTTTAAGCCTAAAACATCCCGGAACCTATCCGAAACTCACCCGAGCCCTCGGGACCTCAAACCAAATGTGCATACTAACTCAAAAACATCATATGGACCTACTCGTGCGATCACATCATAAAAATAACATGTAAAACCATGAATTAAACCTCAAAACTCAACATTTCATCAAGAACATTCAAAGTTCATAACTCTTCAACCGAAAGTCCAACTCACGTCAAATAAACTCCGTTTTTCACCAAATTTCACAGTTGTCTTTTAAATACTATAACAAGTTTGTACCGGGCTCTAGAACCAAAATACGGGCCCGATACCAATGGTTTCAAACATTAATTCTTTTCTTCATTTCTTAGATAATTCAGCAAACTAATTTCTTTCAAAAATTGATTTCTAAGGCTTGGGACCTCGAAATTCATTTCCGGGCATACACCCAGGTCCCATATTTTACTGCGGACCTCACGGGATCGTCGGAACACGGATGCGGATCCGTTTGCTCAAAATGTTGATTAAAGTCAACCAAAATCAAAATTTTTAACTCTAGAAATTTCTATTTCTCATCTTTTCATATAGAAGGCTTTCCGGATATAGGTCTGGACCACACACGCAAATCAAGGTGAGGTAAAAAGGAGGTTTTTAGGCCTCGGAACACTGAATTTGTTTCTAAAATAAGTGATGACCTTTTGGGTCATCACATCAAGGCTGCTTCCATGGCTCAAATCCGAGACCTATAGATCACATGAAAATCACTTTACCGTTGCTTCAAGGCTCCCTTCACAAAAGTACCTCTTCTGTAATGAGAAAATGACCCTATTTGTGTTATCAATATGCAAAATTTAAAATGGTCTTTCGATTAATGCCTAAGAATTGCTTGATTTTGATCTGGTTGTTCCCTAAGACCCTTTTAGCATACGTAGTCTCAGTTTTGGATAAAATCTAGAGGTATTATCACTTTTAGCCCGTATCGGAAACTAATTATATTTGGTAGCTGAAAAAGTATATAAAATTTGTATAATTTTTTTTATATAACATACAAAATGTATATANCTTAGATATATATTACCTCTATTTCCTTGTTTGAAAGAAACTATCTGAAATAGTTTTGGTTCTACTGAAGTTTACCAGGAAAATTAACGTTTTCTAAAGAGAACTAGCATTTCATATTCCATGAATATTTCCAATAGCTAGTCAATTTCCCAAATCAATTCCAAACGCATATTATTGTATGAAAATCTAAACGCCTATGGATAATCTCACAGATAGCCAAAGCTCTCCACAAACATCACTAAAATCCACCTTAATATCATGCATAAATACACCAAAAAGCAGCTGTTTCCCTAAACTAGTACTTCTACTGTTCTACCACATTAACACAATTACTCTATTATACTTCTGTTTCCCATTCGCGCCCCTCTATGTATTACAAATTTTTTACATGTGGGATGGTTCAGCTATTGGTAAAACATGTGAAGATCAATCATTGGACTCATCTGAATGGTTCAACTGGTGCAGATTCTTGGAGAAGTGCAGCAGCCTCAAAGCACTCAGCGGCTTCGAGTGCAGATGCACCATTTTCACTTTTGTATAACAAGCCAAGATTGTACCAAGCTGAAGAATTTGTTCTGTCAATCCGTAATGCATCGGTCAGAAAGCTTTTCACGACAGGCAATGATTGGCCGCTGAGTTGTCGAAGAACAATGGCAGTGGAAACCAAACTCGGAACATGGTTTGGTTCTATGTCTAAAGCCTTCTGAAAAGATTGTAATGCTTCTTTGTGGAGTCCTCTAGCTTGATAGAGTAACCCTGCAAAATGACCACCATTGTTGATACCTTCAGAAGTTGGCTCTGTAAGATCTCATCTCAAAGATGATTAAACAGAAAATATGAAAGAAAGATGATTAAACAGAAAACATGAAAGAAAACCCTGTTTAATCAACATTTACAAGACTTGTCTATGTAACATCATGCAACAATTTTTCCCCAAAAAAGCAGTACCTACTATGCAGACTCACAAATAGCGCTATGAGACGCCTATTAGTCCATATTATGGTTTCTATCCTATCTAATTTACACACTTAAACTCCCCAGCATCAGACAAAAAATTATTTATTTGAAAGACCAAAATCTAAAGCCATTAGTCTATCTGAAAAAGACAGGCAACAAAATAATCAAATGGATTCTTATCTAATTTTTCCTTCACTTACAGATATAGTTTCAAGTAACGAGTTTAGTGTATGAAAGACAAAAGAGTAGTACCAAATTTGTATTACTACCAAAATTCAAGTCTCACATCCCATCAGATAATTTTAGATGGAAAAGAAACACTTGCTCACTAGTGTTTGATGCAGGTCTATGAGCGTTTAATACTTTACAATGTACGCCACAATCTCCAGCCTTAATGATAAGCTAGGCATTAAAATCACATACTAAAAAAGAAGTGAAATATTTCTAATGTGGAGCAATAAGAATGCTGATACATGGGGGGTCAGGCAATTCAAATGCAAATCTTTCAAGATCATGATCGAAGTCTTTAAGAAATGAGAGCATATTGTTTCTCCGATCTTCTTTACTGGGTTTGCAAAGAGGCATAAAACAGCAGTGATCAAACCCACTTTGGCTCTAAGATTACAATCTAAAACTTAGTATATAGCAATTTAACCCCCCCCCCCCCC